ACAGAGTTATTATCATAGATCCATGTGTGGGACAGAGTTATTATCATAGATCCATGTGTGGGACAGAGTTATTATCATAGATCCATGTGTGGGACAGAGTTATTATCATAGATCCATGTGTGGGACAGAGTTATTATCATAGATCCATGTGTGGGACAGAGTTATTATCATAGATCCATGTGTGGGACAGAGTTATTATCATAGATCCATGTGTGGGACAGAGTTATTATCATAGATCCATGTGTGGGACAGAGTTATTATCATAGATCCATGTGTGGGACAGAGTTATTATCATAGATCCATGTGTGGGACAGAGTTATTATCATAGATCCATGTGTGGGACAGAGTTATTATCATAGATCCATGTGTGGGACAGAGTTATTATCATAGATCCATGTGTGGGACAGAGTTATTATCATAGATCCATGTGTGGGACAGAGTTATTATCATAGATCCATGTGTGGGACAGAGTTATTATCATAGATCCATGTGTGGGACAGAGTTATTATCATAGATCCATGTGTGGGACAGAGTTATTATCATAGATCCATGTGTGGGACAGGGTTATTATCATAGATCCATGTGTGGGACAGGGTTATTATCATAGATCCATGTGTGGGACAGGGTTATTATCATAGATCCATGTGTGGGACAGGGTTATTATCATAGATCCATGTGTGGGACAGAGTTATTATCATAGATCCATGTGTGGGACAGTTATTATCATAGATCCATGTGTGGGACAGGGTTATTATCATAGATCCATGTGTGGGACAGAGTTATTATCATAGATCCATGTGTGGGACAGAGTTATTATCATAGATCCATGTGTGGGACAGAGTTATTATCATAGATCCATGTGTGGGACAGGGTTATTATCATAGATCCATGTGTGGGACAGAGTTATTATCATAGATCCATGTGTGGGACAGGGTTATTATCATAGATCCATGTGTGGGACAGAGTTATTATCATAGATCCATGTGTGGGACAGTTATTATCATAGATCCATGTGTGGGACAGTTATTATCATAGATCCATGTGTGGGACAGTTATTATCATAGATCCATGTGTGGGACAGAGTTATTATCATAGATCCATGTGTGGGACAGTTATTATCATAGATCCATGTGTGGGACAGGGTTATTATCATAGATCCATGTGTGGGACAGGGTTATTATCATAGATCCATGTGTGGGACAGAGTTATTATCATAGATCCATGTGTGGGACAGTTATTATCATAGATCCATGTGTGGGACAGGGTTATTATCATAGATCCATGTGTGGGACAGGGTTATTATCATAGATCCATGTGTGGGACAGGGTTATTATCATAGATCCATGTGTGGGACAGAGTTATTATCATAGATCCATGTGTGGGACAGAGTTATTATCATAGATCCATGTGTGGGACAGAGTTATTATCATAGATCCATGTGTGGGACAGAGTTATTATCATAGATCCATGTGTGGGACAGAGTTATTATCATAGATCCATGTGTGGGACAGTTATTATCATAGATCCATGTGTGGGACAGGGTTATTATCATAGATCCATGTGTGGGACAGAGTTATTATCATAGATCCATGTGTGGGACAGAGTTATTATCATAGATTCATGTGTGGGACAGTTATTATCATAGATCCATGTGTGGGACAGAGTTATTATTATAGATCCATGTGTGGGACAGAGTTATTATCATAGATTCATGTGTGGGACAGTTATTATCATAGATCCATGTGTGGGACAGGACACGTAGCGCAGAGTCTCCTTCGGCTTTCTCCTCACGCATTCTCCGACGCTGTTCCAATATTTAAAACAACGTGTTTGGCCTGTGTCATATGAGCTGCTGTTGATGTTGAAGGTGGTTTTGGTCTAAAAAGAGCAAACTTAGGCAGAGCAGACATGCTGCACATACGAGCCCTCAATGTTTTCCTCTGGTTCCGCGTCTATCCTCCGTGAGCTCTCTCTGTCCAATAGGAGCCGATCGTCACACGTGTCAATATGTTTATATAAAAAAGTTCACTTGCAAAAAAGGACAGTCTGAATACGAACCGGAGCAAAAGAAAAAAAGTTTGGTCCGCTTTTGATTCGGATCAAGCAAGCGGAGCAAAGGACTTTTCAGGTCTGAATACACCCTAAGTCTGAGTTCAGTATTACCCCTAGATTTCTGACCTTGTTTGAAGGTTTTAGGGAGAGAGACTGTAGGTGACAGATGACGCTCTCTCTTTCCATAGAAGCTAAAAGCAATACACCATAGAGGTTATGCTAATCAAACAGTTAAGAGTCACGGGAGATAATTGCAGCATTGTGCCTTTAATGGACTCTCACTGTGCAGATTGTGCATTGGTGACAGAGAGTGAAGAGGCACTAGCTCTTTGAGGCCCTCACATCAGCAGCACAAAGAGGCCTCACAAAGGACACACCATGTCATAGTTTAGATATTGTAGAACTGAAAAATCATGGTTTGGGAGTTACTATAGTGTGCCATTCACTTTACAACTGGATGCCACAAAAGGAAATCTTCCTACTGGTGGAATAAAATTGGGAAGTTTAAAAAGTCAACTCAATTCAATTTATTTTTGTATGGCCCTAAATCACAACAGAAGTTTACTTTGGAATGCGATGGAAACAGCAGCAAGTCCTAAGTAGCTCTGAAACAGTTTGATGTTTTTCTACCTGATAAGTTGCTGCAGTACAAACGTTCATGGTTTTACAGTGATTCAGACAGGAGTGGAGAGGATTCATGGTCCAAAACACTTTACTTTGGACCAGAGCAGAAAAAAAATGTCCGAACCAAGCGGGTCCACCTCTGCTGCTGTGACCTGTCCTGCTCCACCCAGAGGCTACTCCACCTCTGCTGCTGTGATCTGTCCTGCTCCACCCAGAGGCTACTCCACCTCTGCTGCCGTGACCCGTCCTGCTCCACCCAGAGGCTACTCCACCTCTGCTGCTGTGACCTGTCCTGCTCCACCCAGAGGCTCGACCATCTCTGCTGCTGTGATCTGTCCTGCTCCACCCAGAGGCTACTCCACCTCTGCTGCCGTGACCCGTCCTGCTCCACCCAGAGGCTACTCCACCTCTGCTGCTGTGACCTGTCCTGCTCCACCCAGAGGCTACTCCACCTCTGCTGCTGTGACCTGTCCTGCTCCACCCAGAGGCTACTCCACCTCTGCTGCCGTGACCCGTCCTGCTCCACCCAGAGGCTCGACCATCTCTGCTGCTGTGATCTGTCCTGCTCCACCCAGAGGCTACTCCACCTCTGCTGCCGTGACCCGTCCTGCTCCACCCAGAGGCTACTCCACCTCTGCTGCTGTGACCTGTCCTGCTCCACCCAGAGGCTACTCCACCTCTGCTGCCGTGACCCGTCCTGCTCCACCCAGAGGCTCGACCATCTCTGCTGCTGTGATCTGTCCTGCTCCACCCAGAGGCTACTCCACCTCTGCTGCCGTGACCCGTCCTGCTCCACCCAGAGGCTACTCCACCTCTGCTGCTGTGACCTGTCCTGCTCCACCCAGAGGCTACTCCACCTCTGCTGCTGTGACCTGTCCTGCTCCACCCAGAGGCTACTCCACCTCTGCTGCTGTGATCTGACCTGCTCCACCCAGAGGCTACACCATTTCTGCTGCTGTGACCTGTCCTGCTCCACCCCCAGCGCATGGCCCACCTCTGTTAGCTTTTTAGTATGATCAAGTTATTTGTTTTGTTTGTGTGGATGGATGTGTTTTTGCTGCGACTGGACACAGGGATCAATAAAGTATCTATCCATCCATCTAGTTACCTCTGAGGACTTCACCAAGTTGTAATTCACTCACAAGGATCAGAAAATGCATTGATAAAAAAACACATTGTTCCATAAGGGGTGGATCACCAATGTCCATACATGTTAAACATCCTGGAACATTCCCTGTATGTAAATGTTTTTGTTGATTGTACATTTTGATGGTTTATTTTATGAAAGTCTACAGTATTTCTTCTGTAAGGCTAAATCCAGTAGCACAGATAAGGTTTTACTGATACAATTGATGATTTTGGAGTGGAATATCGGAATTCATTAATTTAACTCATTTTATGGAGTTACAAAAAGTTAAAATTCATTTAAAAACATATATGCTAATTGTTTAACTAATTTAATCATTATCGTTATGGTTGAATAATTGTTTACAAAAAGATAAAGTGCTAATTTAATTTGTTTTACAAGGATTAAAAACTATTTCATGGAATACAAAAGGATAGTTCAGTTAAAAACATCCATGTAAAATATCGTATACTTTGTAATATGGTAATAAGGAAAAAGATTAAGCTACAGCAGGGATAGGATAACAGCTGTAAACAAGAATACCATTATTGTTGTGCAGGCTAGTTTTTCATGGTTAAGAAAACCCCGGATGGATTCTTTCCGGATGGAGATGGCGAGCATGTGCCCAGAACTGGATACAAGTTTGAGCAATCTTTCCTGAATGCCGAGTGGTAACACCTTAAATAACCACTGTAAAGGAAAAGAACTGAACTATAAAGAAAATTGACTTGACTAAAATGTATAAAAGACTAACTGAGCTCAATGGGACTGGGGATATATTTTGGTTTTGCATATGCCGGCAATGCTCATTGTAAAACACTGTATCAAATTGCTTTATTTTAATTTCTTTACTAAATAACCTTTTCTCTAAATTGTGTGTTGCCTCCTGCCATTTCATTACGCATTCACCTTAGTTCCTATCGTAGTCCTTTTGAACCTAGCAACTGGTCTATACTTTTAATTCCACCATACCTACACTAATGCGAGTCAAGGGTTACACAAGGCTTCCCCATAAATCAAGCAAATGCCTGCACTTCATTCAAAATATTCCCCAAACGAGAAAAAAACCCTATATTAAAACATCTTCATTGGCCCCAATTCAGGCACACTTTTTTTGTCTCACGAACCTGTGCACAGCCTTAGATACTCCATTACTAAAATAATCTAAACTGAACAGTGTTAGCAGAGCAGGACTCACTTTGTACGGATTAGGTGGGTCCCAGTGCACCCATTCGTAGATGGCCACCTTCTCCGTCCGGTTGACGTACTTGGCCCAGGGTGAGATTCGGTAGAGACGCTGTCCGTCTTTGGTGTGAACAACCACCTGGGAGGAGACAAAATGAGCAAGCAAAATGAGCTGAGCAAAATGAGGTGAATCACAAACAGAACTTTGACATTGTGTATTCAATTATTTCTTTTACATACACAATAATTTTATTTTTGGCCCATGAATTGCCACATTAAAATATTTTTATCATCAAGTCTATGTTTTAAAAAGCTAAACTATTAAAGTAGAACAAAGCCCAAAAGGGTGTTCATGGTTTTGCGCAAACTCATTTAAATTTTCAATTCCATTCAATTAATTTTTGTATTCACAAGAGTAGTCATCTCTGAAGTTGTGGATTGGCCAACACAGAACAGAGCATCAAGAAACAGGAAATGCAACGATAAACAACACATAGAACCATTGGTCCACAAGGGGCAGGTGACCTACAGGTATGTTATTGAACACTTAAAAAGGTCCCATTTTACGCTTTTGACTTTTCTCTGCTTTAAACAATACAGGGCTATTTGGCCTTGCCAAAAGTAGTTTTTCATTGATTTCCTCAAGCTTTAGTTAGAGAGCAAAACAACCCGGTCCATATTGATGACGTGAACAACATTGATAACTCAGCACAAGCTAGAGGAGACCACCTCCAGGAGGTGATTGACAGAAATCAAATCTGCACATCAGTGCGCCGAACCTCATGAGTCTCCACAACAGTGCATCCAACTCTTGTTAATTTTATAATTAGGGTCCAATTCTGGATCGAGTACATAGGGCTCTATGTGATGGATCGCCATCAAGCCCCGGTGAACCAAGATGGCGTCCCATTCAAATCCATGGCTTGTGCTCAGTAGCACATGGGACAGCTATGGGGACCGAAAGATTAGCAGAACTTGCCCATATTTGGGCATCGTCTGGTCCTCTGGTTATGCGCGTTCGACGGTCAAAAATGAAGAGCGAAATATGGGATCCTTAATACACGGAGGAGTAGATGCGCCTCTGTTTTCTTGCAGACTTAAAACGAAGCGGTATGGCATTTCAACAAATGTCTGAAATACATCAAATATCTGGTAATTAAAATTTGAATATTGTTTCAAAGATAAAAATTGAGATATTGTTTAACCAGGGCCGGCATTAAGTGGAAGAGAAAGACATCCAACACGTTAACTTTGACAAGACAAGTCTGATAAGAGCAGAAAAAGCCAGCGTGAGCCAAGAAATCGACTCCCCCAGAGATGGATTGTGTGGCGTTGCCCGCGGTTGGCCTGACTTTTGTCCCCTGCAGACGGCGCCATTAGAAGTGGCCTAATTCAGACTTGTGTTGTGAAGTAATGACTGTTCCAATGCCACCTGCCTGAGAGCCAACGGCCAGGCCCCCCGCCTGGGTTTTTTTCATTATGGCTGGGCCTCCTGGGGGTTGGTTGGCTGGCCCTCCTTAAGACATGCTTCAGCGTTTATAGGATAAAAAAAAAAAAAACCTAAAAGTTAGATAAATGGGCAGCCATAAAAGGCCTCAGTGGAGCTGAAATACTGGACAAAGATTACAGGCATTAAGCGAAATCAAAGAGCCAGGCTGACAGGAATAAACAGAAACTTCTGTTTTTTATGAAAATGTCTAGATGCGGTCTGTGCGTGAGATTGTGAAGGGGAATGGTACATAGGCATACACTGAAGTGAACCAAATAATACCCATTATTCTTCATACTGTACTTTCATTGTAAGTAATAAAATAATATTGTTGGTTTTACACTGCTGATCTGGGCTCATAGTTTTTAAGCTCACATTGAAAGACATTTTGAATCTCGTGACATGGAAATTGGGACTCAACCCAATAAAGGAGCTGCAGTATTAAAGTAAATTCAATTAAGTAGAGGCTTTGTAATTAATTCAAATTCCCCGCTTTTTAATAGCATAGACATATTTGATTTCAATACTGACCAAATACATAAGCTTATGCAACAAAATATTGTGTATTTGTTGAACAGTATAGAAATATAGTACATTTAGAGGGACATTTCCTTCTACCACTCCAAGTGGTCTACAGTCCAATGCAATCCAGAAAGCCAGGTCTCTGGCGGACCAATGAAGGATAAATGAATAAAGGAATGTGGCAATCTGCAAATATTTATGAATTTACTACAAAACATCCCGCCACAAGAACAGTTTCTTCCCCTCTGCTGTTGGACTCTTGAACACTTCTTAACCTGTCCCCGTCCCTTTAGATGTCACCTTACTGCCCTTTATAAAGTCCCCTTACTGCCCCTTATAAAGTCCCCTTACTGCCCCTTATAAAGTCCCCTTACTGCCCCTTATAACGTCACCTTACTGCCCTTTATAACGTCACCTTACTGCCCTTTATAACGTCACCTTACTGCCCTTTATAACGTCACCTTACTGTCCTTTATAACGTCACCTTACTGCCCTTTATAACGTCACCTTACTGCCCTTTATAACGTCACCTTACTGCCCTTTATAACGTCACCTTACTGCCCTTTATAACGTCACCTTACTGCCCCTTATAACGTCACCTTACTGCCCTTTATAACGTCACCTTACTGCCCTTTATAACGTCACCTTACTGCCCTTTATAACGTCACCTTACTGCCCCTTATAACGTCACCTTACTGCCCTTTATAACGTCACCTTACTGCCCTTTATAACGTCACCTTACTGCCCTTTATAACGTCACCTTACTGCCCCTTATAACGTCACCTTACTGCCCTTTATAACGTCACCTTACTGCCCTTTATAACGTCACCTTACTGCCCTTTATAACGTCACCTTACTGGTGTGTGCACCATGTGCACCTGTATATTGAATATAGTAATTGTAAAAATTCTATTTTAAATTTTATTCCTTAGAAGTGTTGATTTTTTTTATTCTTGATTATGCCTTACTCTACTCTCTACCCTCTACTCTTTCTGACTGTTGCACTGAGCCAAAGCAACTTCCAAGTCTGACTTCCTGTTACTTACGTGGCAATAAAAATGATTGATTAATAAATATATCTTACAATTATAAATATACAACTTTTTGGTTCAAAACACGATAATAAAGCTCTTTAATTTCCGGTCTGCATTTATGTATTATTTATTCAAAGATTAAGTGTTAAAATAATCTATTATTTATCTGCAGTTTTTTGCCTAAAGAAATAAATCCTCATTTTCTTTCTGCATGTATTTATTTTCTTCATATCTTAATTTCCTTTTTTATTGATGTTCCGTTTTATATAACGCATCACTTTTTTCTCGACGTCTTGAAAATCAATGCAAATTAAGCGGGCGGAGCTACAGAAAGTTACACCACAGCAGTCATATCAGAGCGCACATGTTTCTCCTTGATAAGGCTCCATTCCCCTCATTGTGAGGAGGTCTGACCCACAGTGTGAGGGGGGCTGACCCACAGTGTGAGGGGGGCTGACCCACAGTGTGAGGGGGGCTGACCCACAGTGTGAGGAGGTCTGACCCACAGTGTGAGGGGGGCTGACCCACAGTGTGAGGGGGTCTGACCCACAGTGTGAGGGGGTCTGACCCACAGTGTGAGGGGGTCTGACCCACAGTGTGAGGGGGTCTGACCCACAGTGTGAGGGGGTCTGACCCACAGTGTGAGGGGGGCTGACCCACAGTGTGAGGGGGGCTGACCCACAGTGTGAGGGGGCTGACCCACAGTGTGAGGGGGGCTGACCCACAGTGTGAGGGGGGCTGACCCACAGTGTGAGGGGGTCTGACCCACAGTGTGAGGGGGTCTGACCCACAGTGTGAGGGGGGCTGACCCACAGTGTGAGGGGGGTCTGACCCACAGTGTGAGGGGGGCTGACCCACAGTGTGAGGGGGGCTGACCCACAGTGTGAGGGGGGCTGACCCACAGTGTGAGGGGGGCTGACCCACAGTGTGAGGAGGTCTGACCCACAGTGTGAGGAGGGCTGACCCACAGTGTGAGGGGGGCTGACCCACAGTGTGAGGGGGGCTGACCCACAGTGTGAGGGGGGCTGACCCACAGTGTGAGGGGGGCTGACCCACAGTGTGAGGAGGTCTGACCCACAGTGTGAGGAGGTCTGACCCACAGTGTGAGGGGGGCTGACCCACAGTGTGAGGGGGGCTGACCCACAGTGTGAGGAGGTCTGACCCACAGTGGCCCTCATTTATGAAACTAGCACAGAATATACGCCAACTCTGGAGGTGGCGTAAGTGTATACGCTCATCTCAACCTTCATCATAACATGCCAAAACACGCATGCAATTCAAGATTTGGTCAACAATAAACATATTCCCACTCTCACTCTTGCAAAATTATAAGCTGAAGCCACAAACAAGGGCCAGGGAGGAGCCAGCCCCTTCCATCTGCTTCTTATCACCCTCTCCCTGACCTCCACTGACAATGGAAGCAGGGCTAAAGGTTGTGAAATAAAACTGAAAATCAATAAATAAGTGCTTTTGTCACAATTGTTTTAATTTGCTGTATACAAAAAATATAATTTAACTGAAATAAAAGACATTATTAGATAGGTTTTTGTTTCCAACCTGCAGGTATATACATATTGCCTTCTCTTCATTTCAAAAATAAAACATCTCAACTCAAGGCAGGCACTGCATATTAGGAACAAACTGCTTCTGCAACATTTAAAATAAAAAAAATCCCTGATCACATAAATAGTAAGAAACCTGTTTCAATTCAGCCTCTCAGTAGTGTACAATCACGGGAGTTTGTGTATCGTTAATCTGCATCCGTGTTTTGTTTTTAGCTGCGTATAAAGTTTACAGTCTCTGGAAAAAGGCATGTTGTTCAATGACGACAAAAAGTGCTGTGTCCACCGCAGTATGAAATGCCACGGACTCTGACGCTACACCACCCGCTGCGTTTTAGTGAGCAAGCGCCACTGTGTGGATGAGACATGCGCAAGGGGAGGGGCCGAGGGGGAGCAGAAGATAGAACCCAGGCCGTTGTAACATCACATTCAGTGTGCGCCAGCAATTGGGGTGAATGAAAAAGTTGAAGAAGGACTGATCCGATAGTGAAGCAAATAGAACTTAATCCAGTATCCAGTGGGAGCATGTGACAACACCCATGAGGTGCACATTTGCAATCTCAGGGGTATCTGCGTTTTAGGAGACAGCTAAAGGGCGCTTGGATTATCCATAACCAAACTTCAAGCATCTGCCATCAAATGCACGTGCATCCAGAAACACCAGTCTGGTACCATTTAAACCTTGCCCAATAATTGTAGCTAAAAGTGCAAACAGCAGCAGTGTATAGTTGTCTGTTGGTTTAGAGGATTTTAAAAGATGATAAACAGGAGGAAGTGGGCAGTGTGCATATGAGCTAAAGCCAAGGCCTGTGCTTCCATCAGGAAATGCTGTAGACCCATCTGAAGAGCAGCCACAAACAAGGGCCAAGGTGGAGCCAGGAGCCAGCCCCTTCCATCTGCTTCTTATCACCCTCTCCCTGACCTCCACTGACAATGGAAGCAGGGCTAGAGTGGTGCAGAAGAGTGGCAGCGATGACCAGGTCCCAAATGAAACCTTGGTGCCATCCGGTCTGTGCCCAGACTCTGGCTTCTCAAACATTTCCCATGTGTTCTGAACACAATGTACAATAGGAGGAGGGGATCTTGTGTTCAACTGATTTGGGAGAAGAGCGATAGTATTTAAACTACAATAAGAAGTTTCATGTTTTTGTAGATTAAATTAAATGCTTATTGAATCATATGAGTGTGCATGTTTATAGAAAAATAATGGCTAGCAAAACGTATAAGAGACATTACCAAACAAATTCAGAGCACTACAACAAAGTATACACAATGGTTCAACAATTGATAGTCAACAAGACTAACCTCTACTGTTCCACCAATGTAGGTCCATCTACAACAGACCTTTATTCAGTTTTCATGCACCAAAAAGTCATCTATTTGCTCAATGGACACTACACAGTACTAAATCACTATCTCCGGCGGCCAGACGAGAGTGTGAATCATCTCCATCGGTCTGGCTCTTGTTGTATTTATAAATACGTGACATTCTGCGGGTACATCCATCTCCCTGACTGAGGTCACCAAGGTGGTTGGTAGCCTCCATGGTGGCAAGGCTCCGGGTGTGGATGAGATCCGCCCTGATTATCTAAAGTCTCTGGATGTTGTAGGACTGTCTTGGCTGACACGTCTCTGCAACATCGCGTGGCGATCGGGGGCAGTGCCAATGGAGTGGCAGACCGGGGTGGTGGTCCCTCTCTACAAGAAGGGGGACCGGAGGGTATGTTCCAATTATCGTGGGATCACACTCCTCAGCCTCCCCGGTAAGGTCTACTCCAAGGTACTGGAGAGGAGGCTACGGCCGATGGTCGAATCTCGGATCCAGGAGGAGCAGTGTGGTTTTCGTCCCGGTCGCGGAACACTGGACCAGCTCTATACTCTCCATCGGATACTCGAGGGTTCATGGGAGTTCGCCCAACCTGTCCACATGTGCTTTGTGGATTTGGAGAAGGCGTTCGACTGTGTTCCCCGGGGTGTCCTTTGGGGGGTTCTCCGGGAGTACGGGGTCGGGGGTCCTCTGCTGAGGGCCATCCGATCCCTGTATGACCAGAGCCAGAGCTGTGTTCGCATTGCCGGCAGTAAGTCAGACCTGTTCCCGGTGAATGTTGGCCTCCGACAGGGCTGCCCTTTGTCACCGGTTCTGTTCACTGTATTTATGGACAGAATATCTAGGCGCAGCCAGGGGTCGGAGGGGGTCCGGTTCGGAGACCACAGGATTTCATCTCTGCTGTTTGCGGACGATGTTGTCCTGTTGGCTCCAACGAACCAGGACCTGCAGCATGCACTGGGACGGTTTGCAGCCGAGTGTGAAGCGGCTGGGATGAGAATCAGCACCTCCAAATCCGAGGCCATGGTGCTCGACCGGAAAAAGGTGCCTTGCCCTCTGCAGGTGGGTGGAGAGGTCCTTCCTCAAGTGGAGGAGTTCAAGTATCTCGGGGTCTTGTTCACGAGTGAGGGAAGAATGGAGCGTGAGATTGACAGGCGGATCGGTGCAGCGTGCGCAGTTATGCGGTCGCTGTATCGGACCGTTGTGGTGAAGAGGGAGCTGAGCCGAAAGGCAAAGCTCTCGATTTATCGGTCAATCTTCGTTCCCTCCCTCATCTATGGTCATGAGCTTTGGGTAATGACCGAAAGAACGAGATCGCGGATACAAGCGGTCGAAATGAGCTTCCTCCGCAGAGTGGCTGGGCGCTCCCTTAGAGATAGGGTGAGGAGCTCAGTCACACGGGAGGAGCTCGGAGTAGAACCGCTGCTTCTCCACGTCGAGAGGAACCAGTTGAGGTGGCTCGGGCATCTGTTCCGGATGCCTCCTGGACGCCTCCCTGGGGAGGTGTTCCGGGCACGTCCCACCGGGAGGAGGCCCCGCGGAAGACCCAGGACACGCTGGAGGGACTATATCTCTCAGCTGGCCTGGGAACGCCTTGGGGTCCCCCCGGACGAGCTGGAGGAAGTGTGTGTGGTTAGGGAAGTCTGGGCGTCTCTGCTTAGACTGCTGCCCCCGCGACCCGGCAACGGATAAAGCGGAAGAAAATGGATGGATGGATGGATGGATGAATAATTACAATACAGTGACATATTGTTGCTTTGAGTTGTGAACCTGTATCATACAATACCTTGGGGTTGAAGATGGATTTGTTTAAAAAGTGACCAGAAATTAAACTTAACTAAAAGCAAAACAAAGGCAAAATTATTTAATAATTGAAAACCACGTAGATGCCACGAATGTCCATATGGAGGACTCTTTTGGCATGCTCTTTTTTTAATTTTTTTTATTTTTGCTGTTGCAAACTGTACAAATGAATAAGTTATCTTCCCACAGGGCTTCACAAAAGTTTTTGCTTTAATGAGACAAAACAGTTTGGGTATCCAGCGTCTAACCAACATGCTCACCTGTGCTCTTCCCCTGGCACCTCACTGCTGACTTCACTACACACAGCCCAGGACCCAATGTGTTTGGTAGAGAAGGAAAGGCACTGCCGGAGGGCACCTGTCAGCACCTCAGCACCCTGCCTGCACTCTCATGTCCACCCATTCTCCCCACAGCTTTGCCGGGTTAAGAAACACGGCACTCACCACCCCGCCGTACTCTGCCAGTCGCAGATATAGGCCGGCAAAATGCTCCACTCGGCCCCCAGTGTATATTTAGGCATATGCTGCTGTCATTGCTGCTCTGTATAAAGTAGTATTGCGTAACCAGCTAAAAACACTGAGCTAAAACACTGACAGTTAAATCCAGCAGTGGAAGTTTGTTATGTACAAAGCATCACACATTCTTTGGTAGCAAGATGACTTGGAAGCATGTTATGCCTTTGAAATCTGCCTGCTATATAGTGATAACCTATTGCCACTTCCAAAAAGCCTTGTTTAAAATGTACTATACTATATCAATACTTCTTTGGGTGCTAGCTCAGAACATCTCAGTAAGGGGGGGTGGTCCCCAGACACAGTTCTTGGGGTGGGACATCCCCAGAAGATGTCAATCATGGCTTTCAAACTTGTTCCAGAAAGGACCGGTGTAATCTTCTAATTAAGCCTGGACTCACTGGGGGGAGTCGGGTGTTCCTTGCCTGGAGGCTTGCTGTGATTATTATCAGAGCATCCAGCATGCCACAATTATCGCAACTATTAATGTGTGTTCAGTAATGATGTGTGTTCTGCAATGTAGTGCTCGGCAAGGTACAATCATTTATGATGTAGACATGCACTTCCTGCGTCAAATTTCTGAGCCTATTTGAAAAAGCTATATAACATTAGAAGTCACAAATCATGATGAGCTATAACAATATAAACTCTCTTTGTGTTTCAAAAGAGAAAACAGATGTCACTGTTTTCAATGGAAAACAAATTTTCTGCCGTTCATGACATACTGTGAACTAATTCACGTTAAAGTTCTTTATTAAAAAATGTGTTTTATTTGATTTGCAGTCGTTAAATACATTTAGAATATTAAGGGCTGTCTAATACTCGTTCAATTATATATATTTTTGTATTTTCGAAATGTATTCGAATATTGAATTTTGAAGTCAAAGTGTTTACCAGCGCTGTAGAGGCTAAAGGACGCCCTCTAGCTTGTTAGCCCCTCGTTCTGTGATTGGAGGAGAGCGGGCGTCACGCCAAGCCTCTATTCAGCACTTTTTACGCCCTGAATTCTTACTCTTACACAAGCTGAATCAATGAGCTCAAGTTTTCAATTGAATTACGGATTATAATATGATAATGCTGTTCCAGCTACAGTTGAACCTGATGAAATCTCACACAACAAAGAGACAAAGTTAATCTTTTACTTGTTACATTGTACAAGGAGAATGTCTTGACAGAGGCAAGGCACAGACCCTAGCCTCTCTCAGGACAAGTCTGAAGATTCAGTCTGCAAGCCCCTTTTGGTAGAGCAAGACACATGCCATTTGTATGCAGATGGCAAAGGAAGAAACCAACACAACAAGACACTTGAGAGATTAGCATCCTCAAAACCTGCTTCCTCCTGGCATCTGCATACAACCCCCAAGCACTCTGAAGTCAACAGTGGATTACAATACAGACAGTATAGAATTCAGCCACAAATGATTTAGCAAAATGATAACTAAAGTTACATTCCAATATCATAATACAACTTGTATTTTTTTTTTTTTTTTACTAATTAGAAAAAAGTCAGGTATAGCTTCTTTAACTTTATTGATTTACCTTGAGGTTGGAGTTCAGCTCAACCACACATCAAATTGTATTGCAGTGATTTTGTTGCATAGTGATTGCGAGAATTCAATAAGCTGGATAACTGCTTCCTTGCAGCCAAGCTGGATACTCGTAAGGTTTGAGTGAACCTTTGAAACATTGCATTAGACTTTGAATATTAACCCTTCGACGCCAAAGCTGATGACAGCCTTTGTTGTGTTATTGAATAAAACTAGAGTTTTATGAAAATGGCACATCAGCACCACCTAATTTTTCCGATGTGGGGAGGGTCTTTTAGATATGCAAAACGTCCCTGCATTAGTAGTTTCACCAATTCGGCTCAATTGCTCCACATCATCTAAAGACATGTAGCATCTAAAGTTGGCTGCAGAATTCAGATTGGTGAAAAGATGTATGAGCTGCGTGGCCACACATTTGGACAATTGTATTTCATTTCTCAAAACCTCTTGAGCCAACTTACAAACGCAACTTTATACCGTTTTTTATAGAGCGCAAGTTGGATCTGTTAGTATGTACCTACCACCACCTCGGTGTGAACAGCAGAAGTCCAACACGGCACTCAGACATCGTTTTGCTGAAGAGTTCAAACCCACCCAGAGACAGGTTTCACTACACACTGTTGCACTTGCTGTTATTGAACAACCGTCACTACCCGTTTTATACCCAATTCCAGAAACCTCTGGGTATCTTCTGCAGACCTCGCTATATCCATCCGGGGTCAGGTCATTGGCTAAAGTGGGGAAACTCCAGCACTGGTCCGCCAACCACTGCAAATAAGCCCTCTTATCACAACCATAATAACCAATCCCTTCAAAGTGGCCTGTCCCACTGTCCTTATATTTTATATTT